TTGTCTTTGCAATGCCCCTGCCCTGCTCCCATGACTCTGAAGTCTTGAAGGGAAATCTCAGTCCCGTGCAAGTAACCCACGTATAACGGCTCCTGCTTTTCCCAACCTCTCACCAACACCGTGCTGGTTTTCTTCAAATCCTAGAGGTCCTGACTCTAGGTTACCCATGTGTAGCACCCCACAGCATCCTGTCAGCCACCCCAGAGGCTACCTGCAATAGCTGCTACAGGTGCCCACAGCTTCCTCTGACTCTCTCTCTTCCTCAAGCCATCCCCTAGCTGCAGAAGCTTTAGAGCAAAACAGGCCAGAGCGACAGGGAGTTAACACACCAGGAAAATCCCTCCACCAACGAAGGGGAGGAGTTCATGGATAAAGCCCCAGCTTTCTTGCCGAGAAGTGGGATGATTCTGAGGTGTACTCTACACAGTGTCTTAGAGGGCTCTGAATGGGAGCGAGCCTCAGTCGCCTGAGTGGTCCTCGTGCATGAATGCACCATTTCTTGGCTTTCCTCCCTTCATGGACTCACATCCCCACTCTCCCACCGCATTTCCTGGGACTGCCTCCCAAAGAAACTATCCACTCAAGTCCTTGTCTCAGGGTCTGCTTGGGGAACACCATGACTCCAGAACTGCCCCAGGCGGGCTTAGCTTCCTTGTCCCCAGACCAGAAGCATCCAGCAGTGCCTGCTTGAGCTCCCCTCCACTCCCCAGCACAGCTCGAGGATGGAGCCTAGTTACTCACACAGGCCTTGAAAGTCTTACTGACACACTAGAACTAGTTCTAATCTCCCTTTTCAAGTAAAGGAAACCACAATCAATTCTGCAACCCCTTTCTGAGTTTGCTGGTCCCTGGATTACATGACACCACCACAGCATCCCCAATGTCACTAGGGTCCACTCACTCAGGAGCCCTGGAGCCAGAGCAATTCTGTGACCTGGCCCCCTGGGATTAGCCTGAGTCTGGAGAGCCAAGCATTAAGGGGTCCATTCCGGGCATGGAGGGGTCCAGGGAAGAGGAGCTGGAGAAGTTCCCCGGGTCTAGCTGCCTCCTGCTCACATTAACTGGATGTGACAAATTCACAAGTTGGTCTCCCTGGGAAGCAGATTCTGAGAGCAAGATCTGTGTGTAGGAAGTTGACTGGGACTGTTCTCAGTATTGACGTCTGTTCGGGAAGGAGGTGTAAATTACGCAGGACTGGGGAGAAGAAGTTAACTGTGTTATAGTTGAAGCAAAGGCCTTGTTTGGTCTCACAGAGAGATATGGGATGGCTCTGCAGAGCTGCCCAAGTTGAAGCAAGGAGGCCGGACCTTTGTAACTCACATTGACCAGACACTGGATGTGAGATGCCCAGAGGGACATGAATGTGTGTATGGAGACTCATCTCAGCCAAGAGTAAGTCCAGGAGAGCAGGTGCTTCAGTCCTGGAGCAGGACTCTACGAGGCAACCACAGCATCCACCACACCAATGTTACGAATTTTCAGGGGGAGAAATTATCAGAAACAGAGGAGCTGGAGCTAAACCCTGAGGAAAGAGCACAAGTCACTTGACAATCACCCCTGGAGCTTCTGTGCTGGAGGCATCCCCCCTGGTAGGACCAATCATGGCTCTTAAGCCACCTCCAGACTTACCATCAACTCCCAACCAACTGCAGGTGAGTGGGTTGTCTGAGATGCCCAAGGCCCCACAGCACTGGCCTCTAATTTAAAAAAACCTTTCAACTCTCACAAAGCAGAACTGGGAGGGAGTTAATGGAGCCTCTAGATAAACACCTCTGTTGCAGAAAGCAGTGTGTTCGGAATCACTCATCCACAGGCATTTGGGACCCAGCCATGCAGGATCAGAAGCAGAGCAGAGGCTGCAAACTAAAGAGATGGTGCCATTCTGCATCGGGGTCCAACACTGAGAAAGTGAACCAATGGGGACGGACTGGATATGAGGTGGGGGACAGAGGTATCAAGGATGCTGCCTGTGTTTTGAACTTGCTCAGCAGAACCATTCCGTGAGATGGACAGCAATGGAGGAGGGCCAGGTTTGGGGGTGATGATTGCACATTCCACCCTGAAGGAACTTTTTTTTTTAAAGATTTAATTTTTTTCCATTTTCTCCCCAAAGCCCCCCAGTACATAGTTGTATATTCTTCATTGTGGGTCCTTCTAGTTGTGGCATGTGGGACACTGACTCAGCATGGTTTGATGAGCAGTGCCATGTCCACACCCAGGATTCGAACCAACAAAACACTGGGTTGCCTGCAGCGGAGCACGTGAACTTAACCACTCGGCCACGGGGCCAGCCCCCACCCTGAAGGAACTTTTGATGCTTACATATGGATGTGTCACATATGTCGTATGGCCAGTTGGACAGATGGTCTGAGCTCTGAGAAGAAGCCTGAACTGGAGATGCAAATGGGAGGAAGGAGGAAGAGGATCATCTGCAAATAGATAGTGAGTGTAGGTGAAACTGCCGAGGGAGAGTATAGAGTAAAAGAAGAGGCTCTGGGACTGATCTTGAAGGAACAGCAACTATATTTTTAATAGCTTTATTGAAGTATAATTGACACACAACTAATTATACACAAAAGTATACAATTTGATGAGTTTTGACATATATACACCCATGGATTCATTATTACATTCAAGATAATGAACATATCCATCACCTCCAAAGTTACCTTGTGTTCCTTTGTAATCCCTCCCTCCCTCCTCTCCCCAAGTAACCCCCGATTTGCTTTCTGACACTATCGATTAGTTTGCATTTTCTAGAATTGTACATAAATGGAATCATATGGAATGTAATCTTTTTTGGTCTTCTTTCATTCAGTCTAATTATTTTTAGTTTTGTCCATGTTATTACATGTATCAAGAGTTCATTCCTTTTTATTGCTGAATATTCATTGAATGGATGTACCACAATTTTTTATACATTCACCAGTTTATAGACATTGAGATTGTTTACACTTTTGGGCTACAAATAAAGCACCTATGAATATTTATGCACAAGTCTTTGTGTGGATATATGCTTCATTTTCTCTTGTAAATACCGAGAAGCGGAACGGCTGGGTCATATGGTAGGTATATGTTTAACTTTTAAAGGAACTGCCAAATTGTACTCCAAAGGGGGAGTACCATTTTACATGCCCACCAGCAACGTACAAGAGTTCCAGTTACTCAGTCCCTGCCAATACTTGGTATGGTCAGTCTTTTCATTGTGGCCATTAAATTTTAGCCATTCTAATAAGTGGATAGTGTTATTTCATTGTGGTTTTAATTTGTATTCCCTAGTGAGTAATAATGGAACTACAACTTTTAGCAACTGGAAGAAGACCGAACCTATACAGGAGACCCCAAGGATTAGCCAGCATTGCACAAGGAAAACCAGAAAAATGTGGTATCCCAGACGTCAACAGGAGAAATGACTCAAAAAGAGAGAGTGGTCAATAGAATCAAACGATGCTAACAAGAGGACTGGAAATTCCATTTTGGATCTTGTGCCTTTGGTGACTTTATCAAAAGATGTTCCAACAGCATTTGATTCCAGCTTCCAAGACTCTTTCCAAGGAGTCTCATTGTATTACCTGCTGGGCAGCACCCTCTCCTTGGGTGTCTGGGTCCCAGCTCCCCGGAGCCCCTCCTCAGAGCCCCTGAGGTTAAAGCACCAGCTGGTATCTCTTTGCAGCAGTTTCAAGTGTCTGGAGAGTCGCAGGCTCTGTTCTCTGGGGAGCTAACTCTGAGACTGAGATTAGCACGCAGAAGGTTTATTGAGGAGTGGTCCCAGAATCATCACCTCTGGAAGAGAAGGGAAAGAAGCAGGACTGGGTGACGGAGAAGTTGGGCTGTGATGCAGTCTCAACCCAGGGCTAGCCCTTCAGCATTGTCCCCACTGGGGACAAAGGGACCAAGCCTTCCCACTCTACATGAACCAGTTATCGGATGTAGCCCATCCTAGGAAGTGGGTGTGATCCTGGGTGAGGAGATTCTTCCCAGCTAAGGGCAATTCCTGTAGATGGCGACCATGGAGGGCTGTCAGCCAGCAGCATCCTGGCTGCTTATTCCTGTGAGTCTGGAAGGGGGATCCGGGTGGCACACTTAGCATCCACTACAAGACGTTTCTCCTGCAAGCTTGTGGGCTCTAATCACCCATCCTCTTCCCTTGGTTCCCCACCTAGGATGGGAAGCCACTTCCTGCAGTTACTATCTAAATACCTTCAGCACCTCCTCTGTGCTGTTGCATTCCCCAACATCTCTTTCAGCAATTCCTTCTACCAAACTCTCTCATGCTCTCATGTTTTCCTGACTGATACTTGCCTCCACCCAGAGGCCCCTAACACCGTTAGGGAAGGGAGGGGGGTGGTCAGAAGCCCACACTTTTGACTTTGTGACTCTGTGTCTTATTGACCAGGTTGCATATAACCCAGAAAGGTCAATTTGGGAAATATCAGGATTATGTCTTGCTTTCAGCTCATGCATACTCCCAGAGTCATCTGCAAAAATCATCATCTCAGTACAGAAATCTGGACTGAGATAATCAGTGAACAGGCCTCCTGAGGCCCCCACGTGTCTGCCCTGCAGGTGGGAATGTGCCTGAACTCTCGGAGCGCCTTCATGCCTGAGCGTAAGCCACTTACTGCATTTCTGACACGTGAATGCACTCAATGGCTCCCTTGTGCTCTGAAAATGTTCACACAGTCACAGCCTGACTGCCTAACTTCATATGGAAGTGACTCAGGCTCAGGGATAATCAGCTGAAAGCAGTAAAAATGGGACAACAATGAATCAACGATTTCTCCTTTCCATTTTTCAGACTGCGCCAAATCTGATTTTCAGTAAGACTGAACGCTAGAGATCAAGACCAGCACATCCTAAATAAGCAGATGGTGCCAGTTAATCAAGTGTCCATCACAACACTTACATGCAGTCATGGCGGCTTCAGGAGGCACGTCGAAACCATAATTCCCTGGCTTCATCACCAGCAATCAGAAATAATCAGAAAATGACCCACTTCAGTCATTCAGAGCACATTTTATTAATGCAGAAAGACCACGATTCACCTTATTAATCTCACAGGGGGAGTTTAGACCCTGGTAAGCACCACTCATGTCGTAGACCATGAACTTGGTCACAAGGAGAAACAAAACACATCATTATTACTAAAAATCCCTCACTGATAACAAGTCCTCCCCCCCTCCAGAAAAATGTATTAAAGGCTTCAAATATACAAATCTAAAAATATGTTACAACATTTAACATTAAGACTCGTTTATTTTTTCAATATGCTTTAAAATATACTGAGCGCCTCTCCTTCCCCTGATTTTCCAATTATGTGAAGAAGTCCTTTTCCTTGTTTTTCTCCTAGACTTCTCTCCTTTTCTCTGTCCTTGAGCAGAACGGGGGGCTGAACAGGTCCCCAAGGAGGTGACTATGAAGGCTGCTCTGCAGCCCGCTTGTGCTGGCTCTGGAAGTGGCCCTCGCTGCTGGGGGCCACCTCCTTCTGTAGGTTTGCCGTGCTGGCCTTTCCAACAGTTTCAATCCAGGGGTGCTGAAGAACCTGGTGGGCTGTGTAGCGCTTTTTGGGGTCTACCACCAACAATCGGCTCACCAGATCTTTGGCAGCTGTTGGAGAGACAGAAAGAGGGAAAGGAGATGAACACAGGTGGCCCTGACTTTTTCTTCCCCATGCACGAAATAACACAAACATCCACATCAGCACCAAGCCTACAGTAGAGCAGTGCTGTCCACCAGAACTTTCTGCAATGATGGAAACCTTCCCTATCGGCAGTACCCACTTGGGACTACTGAGCATTTGAAATATGGCTAGTGCAACGGAGGAACTGAATTCTTACTGTATTTACTTTTAATTAATTTACACTTAAATTTAAATAGCCATGGGCAGCTAGGGGCTATTGTGTTGGAGAGCACAGCTCCAGAGGATGTTTCTTCATTTCTCCAGAGTCACAGGGCAGGCCCACCACTAAGACCCACAGCGCCCAGTGCAAGAGAACAAATGGAGGCCACGTACCATATGTCTATATATTATATATTTTAAATTTGTAAGTCAAACTATCAAGTTGTTAAATAAAATATATTCAATCTTCCTTCCTAAGTTGATAAATATGCCTCTATATTGACAAAATTGAAAAATGTGAAAGAAATCTAAGTAGTCAATGGTGAAAATTCAAAATGAATTTCATTTTCCACCCAAGGCCATGATTCTAAAGAAAGGTGGTGACAACTGGTGGGCCAGGTGGCAGGCGGCAAGGAGAAAAGATTTCTCCATGGATGCTGGCTCTCTGAGCCCCCTCTTCCCATAAGTCAAGAATGCACAGGAAAGAAATCACCCACTTTTCTTTGCCTTTATTGGGGGATGGATGACTCTTGCTCAAGGTCAGCTGCTCACCCACCAATCACCCTCTCCTCTACCCCACTGTCCAGCCACCACGTGAGCATGGAAGCCACAGGATTTCTCCTACCCCACCTATTTCAGGCTGGGCAAATTCTGCCCACAAAGTGCCCCGGAGCCTGCCCCCACCAGCATCACTCCTTCAAGGTCCTCAAAGGACTCAGGGGGTAGAAGGCCAGGTTTAAACTGGGAATTCTCAGACTCACATGTACATGTGTGGACAACTGGACACCCCACCAACATGTCCAAGTTCTCTCTACCCACCCCCCAAGACAGCCACTCCTTGGCCACCCTATGGCATTGTGGGGAGAGGCTGGGAAGAGAGGTCTCACCAATCTTGGAAGTGGGCCTGATCCGTTTGAGCAGGGAATTCTAGGGTCCCAAATAAGTGATCTAGACTGGGAGACCTGGGCTCTGGGGTGGGGCACGGTTCCTCGGCCTCACAGTCTCCTCACTCTGTGGGGAGGAGTATAACCAGAGCAGGGCCCCCTAAGGCATGGGACCCAGGGCAGGGGCCACCCATTCCCAAGTCTAAGGACAGTACTGCACAGAACTTTCTAAAATTATCTTTAGTCCTTCAATTCCCAAGTTGCCATTGCCTTGATCAGCTCAAGACCTTCACCCTACCAGCAGTAAGCCGCCCCTCCACGTATCTCATTTAAGGGGAATAAAATGAAGCTTTTCCCTTCCCTCAACCTCCAACCCCAAGTGAGGAGACAGAAGCTAGGGATGAGGGCAGTTCAATAACTAATCTTAGATGACATGTTTAAGAGAAATTGGGGAAAAAATAGTTACCACTCCTAGTCTACTTTTTAAGCTAAAGACTCCAAGACTCAAAACCCCCAATTATCCAGTTCCCAATTTACAAGGGCAGTGGGTAGAACAGACAAATCAGCGGAAACGAGGGGAAAGATTCCATTTAATGGACCAAACAGGGGCGGACCCGGTGGTGCAGCGGTTAAGTGTGCACGTTCTGCTTCTTGGTGGCCCAGGGTTCGCCGGTTCGGATCCCAGGTGTGGACATGGCACCGCTTGACAAGCCATGCTGTGGCAGGCGTCTCACATATAAAGTAGAGGAAGATGGGCACAGATGTTAGCTCAGGGCCAGGCTTCCTCAGCAAAAAGAGGAGGATTGGCAGTAATCTTCCTCAAAAAAAATAAATAAATAAATAAAGGACCAAACAGGAGGAGGCCCACACATGCTTCTGCTCCTCTAAAAATAACTGAGACCCTCCCCCATCACTGTCCAGAGCCCTTGTGCTCCAGGCATGCCCCACAGGACCCCTGATTGCTTATATGAATAAAATAAGCACATCCAGTGTGTTCATAAACACTTCTATAAGATGCCTTTGATCTTTCCAAATGAGTGTCACATGTTTCTGATATTTTTCAGTTCTGAGGTTCCTTAACTGCCTTAAGGAAAAATGTTTGCTGACTGCAACTGGTGGTTAGACTCTTTCATTAAGTCTCAAAGTAAGTCATGTTTTCGGAGTGCTACATAAATCTACACAAAGCCAGAAGGAAACACAGGATGAAGCCCGACATGTCTACAGCCCAGCTCCTTGCCACGCACACAGTAGGGCCCTCTGTCTTCTGACACATCTGACCTAAAACTTGCATTGCAGTCAGAACCCAGGAAGGGCCCCAGCTCTTCATCCCTCCTCTCCTGCCGGAGGAAGTCCCAAATCTCACCGTCAGAGATATTGTCCCAGTAAGGGGCCAGGAACTCAAAGTGGCCCAGCTGGATGATGTTAAAGAGCTCGTCCTGGTCCCTCTCCGGGCTGCGGAAGGGGGGAAAGCCACACAGCAGGATGTAGAGGATCACACCCGCGGCCCACATGTCCACCTCCAGCCCGTAACCTGTGCAATAGAGGCAGGGACACAAGTGAAGCTGAGACCAGGCTGGATCAAATGTGACGAGATACATGTTGGAGAATCAGAGCTCCAGGTCACAGAGGAGCTCAGCTCTCAGTAAGCAAGAGCCCCTGCCAAACACATGGGTGGCCTTGCTGCCAACTCCTACAAACCTGGGGTCTACACCAGTGTTACTCAAAGTTTGGTCCTCAGACCAGTGCCAATTTGTGATCCTTTATTACTGGCCTGTGATAAAATAAGCACAGAAATTGAGAGCAAACATTTGGAAACTCTTATAGCAATTTGACACGGCCATGACATCCAATTACATGATCAACGGACACATCTCATGGGACAGGGTATAGATCAGCTCAGGGGTTGTCGGACACACATGATCAGTCGCATGTGGCATGAGCTGTGATGTTGTCACGTGCAGCAGGACTTCATATGGATCCACACAGTATCAGAAATTTTAAAACCTGGCCCTTCGCCAGAGATAGGCTGAGAACCCAGGTCTACACCAGCAGCCTCAACTTCCTATTCATTCAATGCTTTCTCTCACTTTAAATATATTATTTACTGGGTCTTTTCTATGATTATAAAAGGATTGATATTAGTAGCTATACTCCCCATGAACATGCAAACACACACACATTTATACTTTCTTTAACAGAATTAAGATCTCATAGTACATATTTTATACCCCATCTCATTCACTTAACATTATATCACAGCATTTCCTATACAGGAATTTCCCATGATGAATATAAAAAAATATTCTTCAAAAATACGATTTTTTAATAAGGTTTTTTTTTGAAGATTGGCAACTGAGTTAATTCTTCTCCCCAAAGTCCCCCAGTACATAGTTGTATATTCTGGTTGCAGACCCTTCGGGTTGTGCCATGTGGGACACCGCCTCAACATGGCTTAATGAGCGGTGCCATGTCCACACCTAGGATCTGAACCAGTGAAACCCTAAGCCACCAAAGCAGAGCACGCCAACTTAACCACTCGGCCCCGGGGCCCATCCAAAATTATGATTGCTAATAGCTGTTAGTATTCCCTTCACATAATGAATCTTCTGTTGTAACTGAAGGTTCTTCTAATATTTTACAACTGTAAGTAATTCTGCGATGAACATCCTTACATATTAAATATCCGTGCACATCTCTGATTATATTCTTCAAATAGCTTCCTAGAAATGAAATGCACAAAGTAATATACAGTAAAGATTTTTGATACATATTGCCCAATCATCCTCCCAAAAGTTTATAACAGGAGTATATATGTTTTCAAACACTTTCTCACTTTTTACCTTTAGAAAAGGAAAACATTTGGCAGCTTTAATTTGGAAGTCAGATATTTGTTATTATGCCCCAGAGCAATGTTGTCAAGACACAAATCAGCAGGAAAATATTAGGGGAATAATCACCAAAGACCTCTTTCTAACCAACTTTAATGGCCTTTTCTCAGTTCTCACCCGCCTTCCACTCTCAGGAGGGTCTGGTTCTGCTGGGCCTCCCCTCTTCTTGAAATCTGCCCCTCGGCCTCTGTGACACTGTACTTTCCTCATCCTCTTCCTGCCTCCAGCTGCCCTGTCCTCTGCTTCCTTGTCTCATCCCCCAACTCTTGGCTTCCCTCAAGAATCTGTCCTTGGCTGCCCTTGTTGGCATCACTAAGGAGTTCATTATCTCACCAGCTTTGGCTGCCAACTCTGAGTTCAGTAGTCTCAAAGCCACACGACCAGCCCAGGACTTCACTTGCTTGCCAACCAGACGGTCCATGTGTCCATCCTGATATCTCTACAGTGTCAGTGTGTTCAAAATTTCACTCACCCCATCCCCATCTCCTGAAAGAGCTTTCCTTCCCAACACCCTATTTCAGTTGGCGCTACCATCAATGTGGCGGTTTCCCTAAGTGTTCATGTGGACTATTTCCTTTCCCTCTTCTCCTATCCAGTTCATTGATGCCTCCATTAAAATGTCCATGGTTGCTCAGTATTTTCCTCTCCCACTGTCACCGCATTACCATGGCTCCTATGCTGGCCACACTGAGTCCAATTTCCTCTGCTCAGCCTTCCCAATTGTGAGTAATCCAGGCTCAACCTACTCAACCAACTAAACTGCCCTCTGCAACACTGAGGCTAGTCTCAACGTCTCTACCACCCAACCCCACGCACATTCTAGTCTCCTCATCTTAGCTTCCCTGATGCATCCACTGGTGGAAAACTATCCCTCCCTTCCCCCTACCACCAACCCTATACCCATACAGAGCCTTCCCACACAACATAGAGTTCCTAAACTGATTTCTCCTAGAGCGCCACAGAGGCTAAACAGTCATTCATATATTTGGAGCCATATAATAATAATAGTGATTTCCTTTTTATATACTTTACAGAGTGGGTCACTAAAACAGTTCATTGCATCCTTATACAATATAGAAACAGGTAATAAATATTATTCATGGGGTTTGAAATGGGACCCCGTTTTCCTTAAAATGCGTGGTTGGTGGAGGAATTTTTAAGCCAACTATCACAACTGCTTCCATTCTCTCCCATTAGAGGTAGCCTTGGGTCAGTGGCACAAATAGCATTGCTTGCTTAAGTTCCTTCCCAATTCTCTATCATCTTTCATCTCACTGTCCTGCCAATACACACACACAAACACACACCCCCCCCCCCAATCCCTTCTCTGTAAAAAGGACAGCCCTGATGAGGGAGAAGTTCTCATACTTTGGTCAAGGGAGCTTGCTTCAAATATTTCCCTTAAAATCCAAGTGCAAGCTTAGTGCCAACTCTCTGAGATTTTTGACTGCTCCATACTAAAAAATATTAAATATTAAATATTGAAAATAAAACACTTGTTAGTAAGTGAGCTAGAGTCCCACAGAGCACCGCGTAATACTTACCTTTCTCAGAAAGAATTTCAGGAGCTACATAAGTTGGAGTCCCACACACAGTAAATATAGGTCTCACCACGTGCTTTGCAAGGCCAAAATCAGCCAGTTTCAAGGTGGTAGATTTGTCCTCATTTCGCTGAACCTGTAAGAAACCAAAATCCCCCAAACCACCCAAATTGTGGTGAGAACAAAGAAGGAAAACTGAGACAAAAAAACATGCAAAGTCAGGATAAGCAAACAGTAGACATCGTTTAGCCCAACATGGACAAACTCAACGTGATCTCAGTGACAGATGCTCACATTTTAAACTACAGAACCAACGAGTGAGGATTTACTGTGCTGTCCAATGTGGTAGCACCATATTGCCGCAGTTGGCTATTTAAATTTAATTAAATTAAAAATTCAGTTTCTCAGATGCACTAGCCACACTTCAAGTGCTCAAGAGCCATTGGTGGCTAATGGCTACCATAGTGGACAGTACAAATAGAGAACATTTCCATCATCACAGAAAGTTCTCTTGGGCAGCATTGAGTCAGAACAAAGATCAATGATACTTTGAGCACAGACTAGCTTTAGTGAAGACTAGTAAATGCCTGTGGGTAACGTAAAGTCTGGGCAGAGGGAAAAAAGAAAGGAAAAAGAACTAGGAATTAGAGTGAAGAAGTAGACAAACAAGCAGTGGAGGAATGTTAAATACAAACCCTAATTTGGGGGATGGCGGGAGTTAAGAACCAAACAAACCAGGAGTCTTTCATTCCAATTCCCAGTCTCGTGGCTGAGTGTCTTAGACAAATTTCTCTACTCACCTAACAGCAAGGAGGAGGAGGAGCAAGGGGAGGAGTAGGCAGAGGCGGGGGAGGAGGAGGAGGAGGAAAAGGAGGAGAAGAGAGAATCTCCAGCAAACAGGATTGTCAGGAGTTCCATTCAATGTGTATAATCTGCCCAGCAAAATGTTAGCCCTAAAGTGAACAATCGTCCCAGATTGCCTGGGACTGAGGGGGCTCCAAGGATGTAGGACTTTCATTTTTAAAACAAGGACAGTCTCTGGCAAACCGGAATGAAGTGGTCATCCTAGTTTGCACATTATACAAAAAATTAATGCCACTGAACTTAAATTTATTCCTACATATTGAAACTGATAAACTGGGTTCTGTTAACTTTTTTGCATAAAGGTGAAATAAATTATCTCTGATTCTTCCTTTAGACCCCCAACTTCCACCAGGTTTTAGAGCACAGTAGAATTAGTCATTTTTTAAAACAGAGAAAAGACAGCTACCTTCACTCTGAAATGACTACAGCGAATTGACTGCTCTCTTTTGTCCTCACCAAAACATATCCCGCCTGAGTCTACTGCTTCAAACATGTGCAGGTAACCAGCTTTGTGATCTCTGGCAAACCAGGTCCCACTGCCATGTCAATCTGTCCTGTCCTCCTCCACCCTCAAGGTGTCTGCATGCTAGATGATGACTGTTAGGAAAAGGTGGGTCTTAACCGAAAAGAAACGAATCTCGAGATGTGACCTGAGCAAGTATTTAGACCACCATGCAAGAAATAAAACTAAAGATATGTTATATTGCACATAAAAAATGGAAACAAACAAAGAACCAATGGGGGGCAATCCTAGCATATGTTGCAGCAAGCAAAAGATGCATTGGTGCTATGGAGGCGGGTTTTTACTTTGGGAAAGGTTACATAATCAGGCACAAATCAAAATTCCAACCTTCTTCAGTACTCGTTGGTACCCAAACGAGTAAGATAGAAGGGCAACCCAACAGGAGGTTTGGCCTCCAAACATCAGAGAATGTGAAGACTCAGAGCAGCTGCCTCCCACATAAGAGTCTCACCTTGACAGACGTTTCAGGACACCAAGAAATAAAGGCACAAGCCAAAGGGTTCTCACAGCCCCTCATTCCCAGGATGCAGGCAGCTATGCACACCTGGGTGATACCTGCCTGCTTCTGACTCTGGCTGAAGCAGCTCTGGGCCTGAGCTGGCCCTGCTCTGTGCTATCCCAGGCAGCCGCAGCTTGCAGCTGGTCTGTGTACACGCAGAAGATGCTGGCTCCACACCAGGAAGGTGTTCTGAGTCCTTTTAGCAGCCTTGCCACCCACTCATCACTCTGACCTCTATCGGTCACAGAAAGTAGCCAGCACAATCTGTAAGCAAGGAGCTTTGAACAAAAGACTCTGAAAGTGTGGCATCGTTTCCTCCCTCAGTGTCATGTGCCTCTTGGGAAAGGTGCAGCCCACTCAAGACCTGTTGTCACATCCTGCCTGGCCCCTTTCTTCCTAATACAAAGGACAAAGCTCGGGGGTGTCAAGTATCTCAGGCCCAGAGAGGAATTTATCCATAAGAGGGCAGAGAGAACAGTGGAATCAAAAAAAAAAAAAGTTGAATTCATAGAAACAAAAAGTAGAAAGGTAGCTGCCAGGGGCTGGGGGACATGGGAATATATTCGTCAGAGGGTACAAACTTTCAGTTATAAGATGAATAAGGTCTGGGGATCTAATGGACAGCATGGTGACTAGTTAATAATTCTGTATTGCATACTCTAAATTTGCTAAGAAAGCAGATCTTAAGCATTCTCACAAAAAAAAAAAGGTAACTATATGAGGCGATGGATTGTGAATTAACTTGATTGTGGAAATCCTTTCACAGCGTACACATATAGCAAATCATCATGTTTTACACTTAAATATATTACAATTTTATTTATCAATTATACCTCAATAAATCTGGGGGGGGAGAAATTAATGCACAGTTTTAATTAAAACATAAATTTTGTTAACTATAAGATTAAATAAATTTATATTTTTGGTTTTTTTCAAGGTACATTCTCAATAAAACTTTTATTTTCCACTTAAAAAAAGACAGAAAACAAAAAAAAACACAATGGCCACTATTGAGATCTTTATCTTGAAACCCAGACAGCCAGTGTTCTGGGGATCTTGGCCACCCAACAGAAAGGCTCCCAGGGACACAGCCACCCCTCCCCCTGGAGGGACCCCCTCCTGGACCCTGTACTGCCTGATGGATTTATGGCAAAAACCCTTTTTGTAACAACATAGTAAAATTCAGGGCTGAGCTCCTGGAAGAGGTTGGCCTCTGGTCCACTTGCCTGTGGTTCTCTTGGGGACCTCTGGATAGGCCTCCTCACCTCCTCCAACAGAAATAACCCTTTGCTGGAAGGTTCAGCATCATGTAACAGTTACAAGCACAGACTCCAAAAGCCAACCATCAGCGTTCAAACTCTAGCCCACCACTTACTACGTCCTGGTCAAGTCACTTGCCCTCCCTGTGCCTCCATTTCAGTCTGGAAAATGGGAATGTGAATGATCCTACAGGACTATGATGAGGATTCAATGAATTAATATTTGTAAGGTGTTATAGACAGTGCCCGGCACCCAAGAAGCACGACAGAAGGGTTTGTTAAGTAAACCATATTACTTTAGCCACCATAACAGTTCACCTCTGAAGAGCAGGACAGACTTCAGGGAAAATGAGAAGTACAGGAAGTCAGCCCTGATATCTTCTGGCTCCCCTTTTAGGATCTCCTCATCCAGGCCCCTGGATCAGGCATGGCCCTGGTCCATCCCCTTCTGTCAAAGCTCCCACCCCCTCCCCAACTCTTACCTGCCCCACATCTCATCATAGAAGCTGAAGGCTCAGGCCATAGGCGAACTGAGCAGTTAATTACAGCTCTATGATAAGACTAACTGGGATGAGCCTGGATGGTACCAGCCAAGGAGAGACTTGCTGGGGCCACCAGAGCTATAGGAGAAATTATCAACTGGTCTGGAGGCACATGTCCTCACATCTCTATTGGAATGGGGACAAAGGTTCCCAAAGTTCCTCCCAGTGCTTGGGGGGCAGAAGGACAGTGGGGAGGACTCTGGTGTTCCCTGTGCCGAACACAGCAACACCAGAAAATGGAGGGCAGGCAGCCACTCCCTGGTCTCCCCAGACGAGTTCTCTGAACCCTCATACACGGCTGGTGGGAATGTATACTGGTGCTGCCACTATGGAAAACAGTAGGGTATTTCTCAAAAAATTAAAAACGGAAATACTATATGATCCAGAAATTCCACTGCTAGGATATATCCAAAAAACATGAAAACACTGATTCAAAAAGATATACGCACCCCTATGTTCACTACAGCATTATTCACAATAGCCAAGACTTGGAAGCAACCTAAGTGTCCATCAGTGGATGAATGGATAAAGATGTGTTACACACACACACACACACACACAGTGGAATACTACTCAGCCATAAAAAAGGTGAAATTGTACCATTTGTGACAACATGGATGGACCTTGAGGGTACTATGGTAAGCAAAATAAGTCAGATGGAGAAAGTCAATTACTATATGACTTCACTCATATATAGAAGATCAACAAACAAACAAACATATAGATACAGAAAACAGATTGGTGGTTACCAGAAGGGAAGGGGATGGGGGAGGGTGAAAGGGGTAAGGGGGCACATATGTATGGTGACAGATGACAATTAGACTTTTGGTGGTGAACATGATGCAGTCGATACATCTAAAATATATAAAGAAGTCAAAATATAATGATGAGCACCCGAAATTTACATAATGTTATAAACCAATGCGACCTCAATAAAATAGATTTTGTAAAAAAAGCTCTCCAAACTTCCTTTGGATCCTGCCAGTGAGCTTACATCTCTGTAAGCAGAATGTGTCTTAATTACCGAGCCTGAGTCACTGCCAGGCAATCTAATCAATGTCTCCATAATTAACCCAACCAAATGGAAAGGCAGAGATGTAGAACGACAATGCGATTCTGCATTGGTCTGTGTATTGAGACAAACATAGCCCGAAAGGAGACAAGGGAAGTAATTATTAGAATAATTTAGACTAGAAAATCTAGTTTGGAAGGGAAAGACAACAAATAGTGTAGTGCCTAGAGTTTCCAGATGGATCGTCTACATTAATCACATTGGCTGGGTAATTGCTGAAAAAAACATGTCCCTCACAAATATTTGTAAATATTCCCAACCAAGCGATCAGCATTAAAAGCATTTGGCTGATTTAATAGACCAAAATAAAATATGTATTCCTATGAGAAATAACAAGCATTCCCTTCCTCATAGAAACGTCCCAATTCCAAAACCTG